CGGTCTGAAACAAAGTTATGAACTTAAACGGCAAACACCACAAAGTTACCGTGTAAAGACAACGTACTGCAAAGTACACGTACACTTCCCTTCACAAGTATTGTAACGGGAGGTAATATTAACTGGGAATACAACCCTCAACCACCTTTTAAAGACGCAGACAATTGCCTCACAATTCGAACTGCCGAGTTAAATATGCAGAGATAATTGTACACAACCGTGCAATCTGTCACTGTAAGAAGCACACAGAATTCCTCCTGCTCGCCACGTGCGAGTTCACAATATTTGCAATAATGACAACTAATATCTTTCTTAACACAATTAAACAGGCATACCAGCCTATGAGATACAAATAGAATAGACAGTCGAGATATATTGCGAGATGTGTGAAGACAAAAAAAAACCAGTGAGCGGAGCCGCTCGACGCGTTACAAAGACAATGACCTTTTTTTCAAATTTCTCGCAAAACAACAAATTTACAACCGCGGCAGGCAAACGGCACTATTCTGTAACAAAATTCTGACCGAACAGCCTCAAAAAACAAACAAATTATAAGAAGACAGGAAAAGTTAACATTTTCGCTGAAAATGGTTTGATGAACGATTCCCGGACGACAAGCACGTCTGCCTCCTCTGGTGTCTCGTGTCTTTCTGTAGTCAGCTGTATACAACACTTAAACATATGTAAAACCAATCCGCCAAAATGAAAGGATGTTCATAATGCTTCCAAAGAGGGCGAATGTTGGGAAAATTAAAGTATTATGTCTCCCATATTATAATAACATACATAACAACTGCATAAACACGGAGTTTCATTTTACCAGCGAGCTTTCATGGAGGAACTACATTTCGTCGACACACCCCTGTCACATGACGTATTCCTCCGTTCATTAAAGATTCAAAATGGCCGAGTACCTGACTAATGCAATTTTAATGCAATTAATTGAGATTGAATACATAACGAGCAAGTTTTGGTGAGTGAAATTCAGTGATTATTATTATTAATTTTGCACACCGAGCCAGATGATGAATGATGATAACAATAACGATGATCCATTTTGTTTTATTGGAAACAGATTTAGGGTTAACCATTTTAAATGAAGGGGAAAGCCTTTCACAAACACGGTCATCCATAACTTTTTGTTTTAACCTTTTTAGCAATATGAGTCGTATATTCATTACCATGCACAGTTTCAAACAACTTGTTGACTTCCAAATATAAATATTAATTAGCAGGTATTCACCTCCATTTTTTTTTATCTGGTGGCCCTTATATGTTTCGCGTAGACCCCAAAACAATGTATGGCGTTCTATCGCAGGGGGCGATAACAACTGCCAGCCTTCTGTGGCATTTCTGCTCCATTACAAATTAATGACCCGGATATCCCTATTGAGGAAGAGCAGTGAGGAAGTGTCCATGGGCTGGGACGCTGGTTTCTTTAAAGGGCGGCAGTCGTCGCGCCGCGTTCTGTTCGATAATGGGACTCATAGCGACGTATACAACGTGTGTAAAATACATTGTTTATTTACATGAAATTCGAACACGCGCTGCGCGACGACCACCCTGCTTTAAATGTCTCCGATATTAAGCCCCCGTAGAAGCTAAAGCTTCTTTGTATGTAAATGGCTATTTGCTTGTTAATAACAATACTATTCAATCTGTGATTTGGTCGCAGAAAATACCTGTTATTCCATTTATCACATGAGGTTTTTTGAGTAGGTGTAATGTGTTTACCGGAACATAAAACTATTAAGACAATTACGCCAATTTGCCTGAATATGCAAATTAGGTACGGGCCATTCCAACTTGTTCAATGTTAACATTAGTTTTCCATTATAGCATTATAGGACGTTGTGGAAGGTCTAAAACACAAATGTATCCGTGATGTTTATCGCACTGACTATTAATGAATGACATGGGTTATTTTCAGAAGGCCTGACTGATCATATGACAAATATTTTCGACAGCCAAAATCCGTTTATATAGCAATTGCCTCGCCATTATGCCTTGGTAGATCATTTCAAGAGAATACGTAATACATTGTTCTATATTTTTCATTGAGTACACTCGTGCGTCAAACTCGTCTCGTCAAGTAAATTCGTCTTCAAGTGTGTTACTCGTCTTGGGCGCTCTTAGGAAAGACAATGCCGTTGCATTACGTTTAAATCACGGGTGACATCACATTATTGTATTGTGCGGATGTTTTGGGGGAATAACGGCCGTGTCAGGCGAGATAGTTCTCGAACCACATGGAGACTTTCTATGACAGTTCTTGAACTTCTACAATTCACCTGCACATCAACAAATGAATGAATGTGAGTTCAACTTCCTTATTTTTAAAATATTGTTTTGTTTGGTTATTGCAATACCAGGGAGTCAGACCCAGTTTAATTTAAATCAGCCAAGTAGTAGGGTAGTCGTTCTGCTGACTGGGCTATGCTGGTAATTGATCTAGATATGAATACTGCGTGTATCAGGTGTGCTACGTCCGGGTATCAGAGTATTTTTTTTCAACTCCCCATTCCATTGTTCATCTACACATAACTACAGGGAGTTCGACTAGTGTAAGTACATGTAAGCGGTGGAGGGCGATGTTTGGGGCAAATAATTTAATGATCACATTGTGTGTGCGCATGGAACCAGAAAATAGGGTAACTAGTAACATATGTCGTAATATTGACTACCAAAAAAAACAAAAATTACAAGGATAGAGCTGCCGTAACATTCCCTTTCTTATTTATTCTTGCCCAGAGATCTGTCTTATTACCTTTCGATCATCCAGCTATTACCAATTGAATAACGGTTATGTAACTTCCCCACTCTCTTCCTTTAAAAGGTTCCATCTATGTTCTAGACTTGCGCTAACACGGACAAGAACTAAACAGTATGTTTTACGACAGGCACATCACACCGTTCGAGGGTAAATGGCCAACATTGCCAGTTAAAATTGTGTTTGTTTGTTTGTTTTTTCTTTTTCAACCATGTTTATAATGAATATGGAATATAAACTTGCCTTGTCTTCAGAGTATGTTTATGTTCTATGTGTCTATTGCATATTAAATTTAATAACAGAAATTATAAAAAAAGATGGAAAAAACATAATAAATTAACGAGTCAGACAATGGTGAAACATGTTTGAATTCAGATCTCTTCTGAAATCCAATCTCTTTATGTCTGTAGGACAATTATTTTTAAAAAATTGTGAGCTTAGAGTTATCTGGCAATAAATAGTCACCGATGTTTTCAATAGCAAGCCCTCCTGAATTGAGAGTAACTATTTGTTCATAACTTATAATAAAATCAAAATTTTCCGTTTCTATTTGACCATTTGTCAAGCGTAACACTTTTTCAAAATTTCAGGACAAATGATCCATGATTTCCGAAATTATCTTTTCCATGGCAACCATGAAAATCAACTGATGACTTTTTGAGTTGTAATGAAAAAATTATTTCTGAAATTATTTTATTTTATTCATGGCATGACATATCTACCAAAATCGAACTGATTAGTTCAAACCCTTCAAAACTTTTCGAGTATTAAATACAAAATAATTCCTAAAATGGCCGTTTCCCGAGAGACAGTACCGACAAAAAAATAGAAAAATATTGGAAAAAAAATTGTGAAACCCCCAAAATCTTGGAGAAAAAGGGTTACATATTGACAAAACAAAATAGAAATCATGGCGACAAAAAAGATACATACTGGTGATAATATAAATGTATAAAATGACGCAAATACATCCACAGTATATCAACGACTCACCATGATCTTACACACAGCAGGTTCACGATCGCACACGAATGGATAAATTAGTAGGCGGTAAAGAAAGGCTGAGAGGCCAGTAATGAGAAGTATGCGATACATGAAGACCACGGAGGGCGGTGTGTAAACAATATTTATGGAAACAATATTTATAAACAGTGTTTATGACATCCAAAATACATGCAAAGTTGATTTTGTATAACCATGGTATAACAAAGGCCGGGTATAACTTTTATTCAACTTACCTGATTTCTACTTTTATATTTTTTGTTTTTACGTGGAAACCGAAAAATCCAATCCTTCCACAACATCAATAAAATTGTTTCTCATGACGGGGGAAATGACCAGAAGTTGTGTTTGTTTTTCGACCAATCAGAATGCTTGATTGCGGGACTCAATAATATACACTAAATGTCGTGTTTTCGAGTCTGACTAGTTCTCTTGTTATCTTCATAAACTCCCTTACTGGGAATTTCGCACGCCTTTTTGTCATAAATTGACTTTTATATAGATCATGTGACATAAATGATGCAACAATAAATTTACTGTGTTCGGAAAAGACACAAACGTTGGGTTTTCATACAATGGTCGATATGACACACACTGCTCGTTGAGGTAGGTTTTTAGGGTATTTATATTTTTTTATTTTTCATTTAAGTTCATGAATATTCCCTTTGGCAAATCTTGCAAAGTTCAACGATCTCGGTTTGCACTGCATTCCCGTATTGCGTAACATTTTTAAGGACGTTTATTGTATATTCCATTTTAAACTAGTTGACAGAACTCACTGAAGATATTCAAAAGGCTTGCAGTCTTGACATTTTATCTCGGGGAAACAACACACCTTTTTTATAGGCGACTAGATCAACTGTTCGTTGCTGAAATCTTATTTGTGCGTGGCACTGTATATTCATGGTTTGTTTTTGATTTTTAAACACACATATTAGTAAATTATTTAGTGTGTAAAGAGTAATGTAATGTAATGTTTTGTTTTGTCCATGTTGTCCAGAAAGGTATTGCCAATCAGTGTTTCGCAAATAACTTGCGCCCTCTATCGATATGGATTTGTGGAGGTTGTGTGGGGGCGCAACTAATACAACTTTATCATATTTATGTAGCGCTTCAACCTGGCTCCGAGTATGAATCTGTTTGTAGCTAAATTGCGGATTTCTGTGTTTTGATTTGATCATTGTTAATTACCGCTTAATGAGATCTACTTGCAAGCAACGTTGTTTGTTTAGTGACAATGTTCGTTGATATCAGTCATTGTGGTTCTTTTCCAGCCAAACAGATAATAACCCAGTGTTAAACCCAACACTACGGACAGGAACAACCACACACTGTATGTCATCACTATCAACATGAGGGCGTAGCTAAGAGTAACCTGTACTAAGTGAAGACCTGTCTGCAAAAGGTGGTATGAATCAATGAGACTCTTCGTGAGAGACCTGAAAATATAAAGATATCCATTACGATAAAACGCACGCAGACAATGGACGAACGCTTTATGAACCCTTTAAAGCGCAGTGGTCGTCGCGCGGCGCGTGTTCGAATTTCATGTAAATAATCAATGTATTTTACACGCGTTGTATACGTCGCTATGAGTCCCATATCGAAGAGGACGCGGCGCGACGACTACTGCCCTTTAAGATGAAACATGTTTGATTAAAGGCGAGATTGCGCATATATGAATGGTGAAAATGTAGAGTAGAATATAATAATAATAATAAAGTTACAAGTTTATATAGCGCTTAGTATCCAACGCAGTGATGCTCAATGACGTTTAGTTTCACAGATAGGCTTGCTGAAACAGGTAAGATTTGAGTTGAGTTGAATTGACTTGTACGTGAGTAGTAAAATTTTGAAATGCACCCTATACTGAAATGACAGCCAATGTAATATACGAAGAACAGGAGTGATATGACCAAATTTTTTGGTACGTGTAAACAGACGGGCTGCTGCAGTTTTGAGCCCTCTGAAAGCAGGTGTATCTGTGAATTTTGTAAGTAAGGCATTGCCGTAATCCAGTTTAGCGGTTATAATAGAGTGAATGAGTTTAAGACAGGCATGCTCAGATAGATGTTGGCAGATGAGTCATATGCGTCTGATATGCATGTATATGCTCTGGCATGTACTAATGATGTGTTTACTGAACTGAAGTGAATCTTCGAATATGACACCAATGTTGCGAGCTGCTTTAACCGGTTTAAGGAGTGTTGATCCAATGTTAATACCATGCAGTGCAAGCGGTTTGGAGATTTTTGGAAGTTTTAGCAATATCTCTGTTATACCATTATTTAGCTGTAGTTTGTTGTTAACCATCGAATGTGAATTACATCACAGATTTATGTGAGATAGCGTCACAGCTCATCATGATGTAAACTGTTGTTTAGTGTACAGTCAGGGCAGATATTGAATGAAACTTGAACTTACATTTTAGTTTTCATTTGGTTTACTTCACTGATTGATAAAGTTCCTGTCGACACGGAATGTTGGGTGGGTATTTTCATACTTCCCCTAGCCAGCCATTCTCTAAGTTGTTTTAATCCCTCATATAGTACAGCAGTCAGCGCAATTACAATACACGAACCAATCCATCCTATATACACACGGAATACCAAAAATATAATCAAAAGAATAACAATAGCTCATTGATTAATAACAAAAAAGGCCGGGCAGGTATATGTACTTTTTATATTAAGCTAGTATTACAGTGTTGACTGCTTATATGGCATATATCTTCTCTGTAGACAAAGATACGTGTTATAATTTCATTATATGCGAAATATTGATACAGTACTTTATTTAAATGTATTTAAATACTACACATGTATAATGAATTATTATTTATATGATAATTAGCATAATGTTCCATAATTCCGGACTCAAAATTTCAAATTGAGCTAGTACCGCTATGCATTATACCTGACAGGATTTGCAGGATTGTGTAGACTCTATTAAAATGCATGGGTTATCACGGAAATATAGAATAGTTCTAGGACGTAATGAGGTTTAATCGAAACATTATTTTCATTGTGAAACGTACAGGATATGTTCACTCCAATCGAATTACTTCATGTATACCACGTGACCATATATTTCTCAGTTACTGATTTGACTATGTACTGGTTTGGGTTTGTAAATTTCTTTTTGACAATGGACTTGAATATTGTTTGCGTGTGCTGTTAGTTCTCCTTAAACATTAGTCATACATACCTCCAGTGGTCATTACGTGCCATTCATAAAATAAAATCGTAACCATACTGTCAGTGTGGAAGTACATCTATCGAAATAAAAACAATGCAAATAAATTGAAAGTTACATAAATTTAGGAAATAATTATAATGATTCCATGGCGGAAATTGATTCTTTAATCGTGTATGTTTGTTGAATTAAACTATATGGTAGCATCTTACCTTCATTTCGTGGCTCGTATCATCGTCATGGTCATGTTCATGTTCAGTGGACATCATATGATGATGAACGGTTGTCGTTTCGTCCTGAAATATGACGTAGTGTATTGTATGAGACGGTTGGTGTACGCTGTTATATTGGTTGTTGACATATCTCTTTAAAGCGGGGGAGTCGTCACCCGCGCATGCGTCAGGTGACACAACTAGCAATTCTCACTCTAGTTATGTACTAATTATCAATGATAATAGATACTGTCAATGATGCCGTGGATGACTACTACTTTCAGATGGACACCCGTGAAATTATGTCTCGTACATTATTTTGAGGTAGTAATTAACAACGTGGGAACGTTCCGTTAAGTGTAACTATTTATATACAATTTAATAATTGTTATACTTAATCTTGTTTTATAAATTTGAGGGTGATCTCACGGGGATGCATGTGAATATGGAGTAACACAATGATTTCATTTATCGTTAAGTGTGACAGTTTGAAGATGATACCATTGTGCTATTAATATGATTGGTTTAACGTTATTGATATAATTAGTCATCAAAATGCGATTGGCTAAAGTGACTTCTCAGATGTACCAATTTTTAAGCACAAGTTTGGAGATGAATAAAGATGAAAAATTGTAGTCAAGAGAAACCGATGGGTTGTTGAGTGACCCTGAAGCTGTGAATTATGTGTAAGTATTTTAATGGGATTTCCTTATTTGAGAGGCAAAACCAAATCCCGTTGTTCTCTCGCTCACATCGAGATCTCGGCGGCCATTTACATCTGAGGTAAATAAAGGTTGATCACTACAGTTTCGCGAACGTGGGTGGGTTCAAAGTTGACACGCAGAAGTGTTCACGTGAGGACAAGTAATGTGCATGTCTTAGGGCAAACTACTGAAACCGAAATATCTGTGAAGTAGGTCCCCTTTTTCTCCCATTTTTAAAAATATATTTCCTGACGCAAAAACAATAAAGAGTAAGCAGCTATGCATGATCTTTAGCGTGCATTTCAAAATAGATGAAACACTAAATAGGTTAACATGTTAAATTAATTTACTGGTATATATTGTAAACAATCGGCGCATAATACCCGTCCGAGTTTAAAGCCTGTGGTGTAAAGCCTATGCTTTGTCTGGTGTGCACGTCATTGTCGCCTGCAACCCGTATGCTTTGCTCGATGCGTTGCCCTGTAAATCACCAATGTAAAACGACCTTTAATGGACAGCCCGTGGAGATCACTGGAATAGTTAAACGAGACAAGTAGGCACCATTTAAATTATTGAAGGGCACGGTAGCAACATGAGAAAACCTAATAGATATGAAAACGCCATGTTTTCATTTATCGCGGGTGAGGCAATCATGAGTTATCCCAAAGACAATAGAAAATCAGCAGCTGAATATCAATCAACAAAATGGCGCCTCCATCGAACTACATCTGACAAACCGATTCCATCAGATTACAAATTTCGGGAAGCGTTTTCACTGATTTCCAAGAATTATTATTGGTCCCTTTTCATGTCAACGTTCGCAGCAAAGCTGATTTTCAAGTGAGCTTACCTGTGACTGTGCCACACCCGATATAACAACAACCACAACCAGCCAGGATACTACATTTCGCTGAAGCGACATTTTCGACTCGGTGGGAACTTCTTATTACACTTGACCTCGCTGATGGCGCTGTTATGGCGTTGGTTTTCCACAAGGATTATATTTTGGTGTAGTTCCCTGCGACTTAATTGTCAATTTCCGAACAGCAGTCAGGCTGGAGTATAATTCGGCTTCGTTTCAACGTAACAGTTGCATCAAACTGGTTTAATAAGTAAACGTTGCAATTCGACTTTGGACCGTCAGAGTGGAAACAATTGGGTCAACAACACCTGAGGTGATGAAAAAATACATTGTATGTCAGAAACTACATTTAAAAAATAAAGAGGTCATCTAAATCAAACCTTATGCTTCTCAGCCAATGCAAACGACATCAAAGCGCCATCAACGAGGTCAAGTCTAATAGGAAGTTACCGCCGAAATTAAAAATGTCGCATAGGCGATGATAATGGCAATGCTGATGCAATGATTTTGAGTTTTGCGAACAAGATATAAGATCATTAACATCGCTGTATGTGCATATATCTTATCTTTGTCTAGTAGTAAAATTCAAGAAGTACCTCGAAAGATACAGTGTTACTAGGAAGAGTTTTAGAATATAGTCTACATAAATGGCCGCAGAATTACAGTTATGAGCAACTTACAGTATATTTTGGCAATGACAACTTTAAAAACTATTGAAAATTTATAAACTACCTTTGCCTGGCTCAGGTACGTGAAATTATGGTGAATGGTAAAGGGAACAGTTTGTTTCCGAAGAATTTGGACAATTCGTAGAGATAAATGGTATACTGACAAACACAATACCATGCAAATGGTCAATGAGGGCGAATAGTCCAAACACCGTGACTCAAACAACGCCTAGTTAAGCACGTGTTAGAGTGAATCAAACTGATAAGAGTCACTATGCGAGTCCTTTTGCGTTGATTATGAAACATTCATTACTCAGTTTACTAAAACCGAATATGTGAACTTCGATAGAGAAAGTTCAAGATCAACAACGTTGTTTTCCTGATAATAGCGTGAAAATGAAAATCGGTTGTCATGGCCTGAAATATGAGGAGCGGAATTGGGTTTCAGGAATTATAATTGCATTTAATTGAAATGTCATTTGAGTTTTTTAAGTTAACGAAGCTCCAACACTTTAGACCACGCGATACTACATATCTCAAGTTTCCGCCCAATGATGAAAGTTCAGAATTTATGAAGTCCGCATTGTACAATTGTCACACCTACCGAAACATCTACCAATAACAGTGGCCGTTGATATGACAGATTTTAATAGTGATAAGATGAGTATGTCCCATCTTATTAAAAACAGAATAATTCCTTGTAAATACGTACTGATATTGGCAGTTCGTTCAGCTCTGAGTTTGAGTTAATTTTTAAGTTTTTGGACTTTTTCCACTTTGTAAAATCTTCTGTTAAAATAATTGTTTAATTTTTACAAATTTGTAATCTGAAAACATACTGTCTTATATCCTTGATTTTCAAGACTTGTTAAAAAAGAGAGAAGATGTGATATTTTGTATATCCTGCTGTTTTTGTATTACCGTTGTTGTGGACAAGGGTTCGCGCATGCGCATCGAAAAAAAGGTGAATTACGTTCATGAAAGCTCTGAACGGCTATGTTTTTTGTGTTTTTCTTATGAACTTTCGTATGATATAACAATGTAGGTCATTGGTTTTGGGTCCTTTTTTATTGTGTGATTTTTTTTGTGTTAGATTATGAATATTCATAATATAAGTGAATCAATATCTTGGGTATACGATCCCATATGAAGGGAATGTCCATTTTGCACGTACGCATTTGAGAGTAATGCGAGCAAAAGGTTAATCTGTCCCTAAATATCACACTGTTACCTCTGATAGAACAATATCCCCTTATTTTGCAATAAAAATGTGTAAATCTTTATTACGAAGTTGTCATAATTGTCGCTTTAGGCATAAGTATACAAGTTTGTTCGTGTCGGTCAGCGTATCGTGTATACAGATAAAATAAGCCAAACGAATGCGATTTTTTCATCATTTTACGGTATGTGCAGTGGTATGAAAAATAAATATTTGAAGAAGGTTTTAGAAATTACTGTACGATTGGCTGCGAACGAGGCAGCAGATTATTGACGTACTCGGCCTTTTGGCGTGGTACTAAAAGTCGTCAAAACCACACACTAACACCAATAGGATTCTAATAAATCCGTCAAAATGTTGTCGCAATATTTAAAAGACATGGACGATTTCCACTAATGGTATTAATAATTTTGACGGAACGAGATATTGCCTGGTTACTAATTGAATTACTTGGTGACACAAGTTGACAACGGTTGGATCTGTTTATCTGATTCGGAAAATAATGGCCGAGCTCGTCTGTACCACCAACAATTGAGACTTCATCCATCTGTGAAATCAGGTTTGATACTATTGTTAATGTGCGTTAACGTAGGTACAAATTGTTTGAGGGTCTGAAGAACTCACTCGTAATCAACATAATATATATAATTATATAATCCTAGTTGAGAGGCAATATATTCACATTTTCATTAAATATCAGCCATGCTTCGCGAAGCTAAACGAATGTCAGTGTTACGTCATATGCTGAATGCATAGAGCCGCCATGCTTTAAACAATCTAAGAGTACAAGTGACGCATGCGGTAAGCTGTGCCAAACAATATCATCGTATTGTTACCATAGTGACATCGTGTATGCACATTTGATTCACAAGAGGTTGCAGTATTGGTAAACAAATAACTTGCATGTTTAGGGTAGACATTAAAACATATATTACAGGACTTTTATGAATCGATTGTCTACTAATTGTATTTAGTAGTAGCAAATTCGCAAGACTTTAGACACATCCCACGTGATCGGGCTAACGACTGTAGTGATTGGCTGGTCGCCTTAGAGTTTATGACAGAGTTTGTAACATTTTGTGAGAGAAAAAGAAAAGTGGGCAGCGAGGCGTTACCTCAGCTAACCGTTTCGATGAATAAAGCTGGTCTGTCTGTAATGAAACTAATGTGTATTCCTTTGGGTCGAATCTGGTATCTCTACATGTACGTGCTATCAGCTAAGCGAGTTACAGTCCCCCGAGCACAACGCTATTGTTCACACAAATATTCTCGCGATCTCGCATTTCAAAATGGGGACTTATGTTTTGGGTTCAGCCCGTCCGATGTGGCATCTCGTACTTGCCTGGGTCGATTCTGTTCAATATTCAAGTAACTGCGGTGTAAATATGCATGCCAATTTGCTTTTCTGTATCCATTAATATTTTTTTCCGAATGAAGGTCATACTTACTGTCCCCTTAACAAAAACAAACAACAATTTAACATGTCACCAACCACTTCACAGATAAGCCTCGCACAGATTCACTTGGTATTGACATTGCCAATGATGGTATATTAATGCACGTTCATTTGTTTCTAAATTTGAAAAAAATGTATATGGACGCCATTTTTGGTTTTGATAAAATTTTACCGACTGGCGGCCATTTTATTTTTTCTTCAGACATTCATTAGTCAATTTTGCAGCTATTTTTCAACAACAAAAATAGTCGACTAATTGTAATCAAAATTACTTCTAGAACAGTATATAATCGGTTATAGGTTCACATTATTTATTTCATAATTGAATTGAATAATTGATGTCACTTATGGCTTTTTTCCCTTTGTTTCTGGGACATATTGCATAACGTTTACTTATTTTGTGTTAACTGTGTACAAACACATATCCACTGACTAGAGTAGAAAATTAAGCTTTGGGAAATATATTACCTGCTTGTTTGTTGTTACTGTTTTCCGCTGAGCATTTGTAAAATCAACAATAAAGTCATGACACGTTTCGTTGTGTACAAAATATTCATATTAGTATTATTAAACATGTTATCAAAGAAGTAAAAATATCGTAATCATTATATAAAACTGTGTGTCTAATCGTCGAGATACCATAATTTTTTGCTCGAAATCTGGACATGTCAATGTAATATCCAAGATGGCGACCTTGTTGAAGGATAAAGTGTTGCAGACGTTTTACAAAAAGAGTAATCAGGTGAAAGATTGCAATTTTTTGACTGCGGGAGGAACGTTGTGAATTGCGAATCGGAATCCACAATAATCAATAAAAACTGATAATAGTACTGTAAGGCTCATCAAAAACGTCTTGTTCAACTATCTGAAGTGGACACATGGAGTGCAATGGCATCGTTCATGGCTAGTAAAATAAAGGTGTCGCTGTGGTGGCATTGTTTGCATTGGATACCATTACACATTATTTGATATAACTTAGTTAGTGACAATGTTCGTTAACATCAGTGGTTGTGGCTCTTTTCCAGCCAAACAGATAATAACCCAGTGTTAGACCCAACACTACGGACAGGAACAACCACACACTGTATGTCATCACAACCAACATGAGGGCGTAGCTGAGGGTAACCTGTACAAAGTGAAGACCTGTCTGCATAAGGTGGTATGGGTCTATGAGACTCTTCGTGAAAGACCTGCAAAATAAGTTATTATAGGTGTTTACACTACTTTTGTCGTTGACGCCTACAAACAGCAGACACATGTTAGTGTAGCAATTACGTGTTATTCCTTCTGTTGTTTTGTGTAGAATGTAAGGATCGCCATGAAACCAACAAAGCTGGTAATGTGAACATATATATATAGGGAACGTTTTTAAAGTATGCATATCTCTACAATATAAATATAAAAAGGCGATCTAAAATTCAATCTGATTAAAATCTGATGTAGTGTACGGGCTTTAATTATTTTGGCTATAAACTTGTTTTAATTTTATTTTTTATTACTTTTGTATTAATGCCTTTTTATTTTATTATTTTACTTTGATTTTGATTTTGTGATTTTTTTTTAATTCCGCCCTACATACAACTGACCCGACGCCTATGTAACGATATTTCAACGAGACCCACTGTCGACGATTTTAGTCAACGGATCACAGACCTCCTTCTATAGCGCACATGATGACGTCACCGGACAGTGTCAGGTAGCAAACACACTCAAATAAAATGGCGGATTATACCGACGTTAGCGACCGAGAAAAACACGGCTTTTCGGTAAGTTTATCATTGTCAAATGCAACGAAAGTCATTTTTTATGTTTATATTGTGGCTCGAATGGTTCGACTTTAGATCGTTATTTTCCGTAGTTATTCTAGGAGTGACGATTTTGTTCCACCGGGTGATGA